GGGCACCCAACATGTGGGCATTTACTAGGTTGGGCCTGGAATGGATTCATTCAGTTAATGGGTGTTTATTGAGCACCTACTGTGTGTCAGGGCACCTCATATACAGGGTTTCATTTCATTTCACTCCTATACCAGCTTTTGTCATAGGTTCCAATGATCATTCTTATTTCACAGACAAGAAAACTACAGGGACGGTAGGTGAGGATTATTCAGAGAGAGTGGGGGAAAGCATCCCAGGCCAAGAAAGAGCTCGTGCACAGGCTTAGGGGCTGGAAAGCCAGGTGAGGAGGATGAGGCTGGGCTCGGGAGCAGGGCACTTGGGCTCTGCCTGGAGGTCTTGTGAGGGGCCAGCCCCCTCGGGCCTCCCGTCTGGCCTCCTCACTACGCGACTCTCCTCTGCTCGGGCTACAGTGCTATTCTTCATTTCTCACACAAGGTAGGCCCGTTCCCCACCTCTGTGCCTCCTGCCTGGGATGTCGCTTCACTTTCCAAAGTCCATGTGCCCTTGGCCTTTTCAGGCCCAGCAACAGACATGTCTTCCCCAGGAGCCCTCCCAGGTCACTCAAGGTATACCGAGTGACACCTGAACTCTGCCCCCAAGTGGCAGGAACTAAGTCCCAAGTCCTACCTGGAGGCTGGCATTCCCAGGAAGCCCTTGGAGCTGCTCCCATTCTTGGGACATGCAGTGACCCCCCCCCATGGGGGGGCCACAGGAGTGCACCCTGGGCACCCGGCAGAGGGCTAGCTACGGGGCTGAAGGCCAGGCTGCCTTGCCCTTCCAGGTCCTAGCCCAGCTCAGATCAGACCAGGAGGCAAGTCCTTGCTTTTAACCAGCGTGAGCAACCTCCGGGCAGCCCTGCATACGCAGTAGGTGTGCAATTCATGTACAACTGACAAAGTTCTCACCAGCAGCTCAAACCTGAATTTTCTCAGCTCTGTCTAAACTTTTGGCCCCGACTTGGTTCCTCAATCTGCTCGCCTGTAAAATGGGTTTGGGGTGAGGTCAGTGCTTACACGGGGCACCTTCCCCTGGCAGCTCCCCCTCACAGCCCGCTGTGGCCAGGATGACCACATTCTACCGGAAGGTCAGAGAGGGAAAGGGGCTTCTCCGGAATCACACAGCTCTGCGTCCTGGTTTGGTGGTGAGGAGGGGTTGAGGGAGGAGAACTTCACTCAGGCGGGTTCTCAGAAGCGTCAGCTCCATCCCACAGCTCACACCTATCGCTCCCAGTGGGCTGCGGGCCTGCCATGGAAAAGGGGGCCGAGACTGCTGCAGGGGAACATGCGGGAATATCTGAGGGCAGATAGTAGGTGCGTAATCAGTGCTTTTGGAGAAAGGGAAGAGAGCTAAAAAGGGAGGCAGAGGGCGGCTGAGTGAGTACGTGAGTGGACGGCCAGGTGGAGGGCTGGGCATGTCAGCGAGTGAGCTGTTGGATCCATGGAGAAAGGGGATGGAGGGAGTTGTGGGTGACTGGGAAGGCGGTCTGGTGTTGCAGCCGAAGGCTCGTTAATCACTAAGCCGTCCGTTTGACAGGTGAGAAGACTGAGAAGAGAGAGGCTGAGGAGAGAGGAAGCCGCTGGGTCTGTGCAGCTGCCCCTGGACCAGCAGCCTCCGATGCCCCCATGCCCCTCTCCCTTCACCGCTCACCACCCTCTTTCCTCTGCTGGGGTGGGGAGGGTTCCGGGAAGGGGCCTTTTCTCCACCTTGTCTGCCTCCCTGTTCTTCAAGTCCCAGTTTCCGCCAGGCCTTGGTGTCAGGGGTGTTAGGGCGGGGGTGGCCCCCGCAGGGGCTATTTCAGTCCAAGACAGCCCTGACAGGAAGCAGAGGAAGCTGCTGGCCCGGTCAGAGGTGTCGCAGCCTGGGCTGAGGGCAGGCGTGCAGGGAGCCGCGCGTCTGGCTCCCCCTTGGCCCAACACACCGGAGACCACCCAAGACACTTCAGGGACAGAAGGCTGCAGGTAAGAGTCGATGCGTCCTGGGGCCACGGGCCCGTGTGCAGTGGGGCTGGTTCTGGGCACAAGGGACTGTCACTTTGGGCAGGCAGGCTGGGTTTAGCGCTGACCTAAAGCAGGTCCACAGAGCTGGGGGTGCCCAGAGGAAGGGACTCCCCCTCAAAAGCAAGACTGGATCTGGAGCCTGATGGACACTTGGGGTTGTGAGGAACAGAGTTGGGTTGAGCGGCACTTTGTGTGGAGGGAACGGTACAGATGGGGAGGCTGCGGAGCAAGTCTGGGTTTCTGGCCATCTCTGTCTCTTGGGAGCAGCATGATAAGGGAGGAAGGGGCCGAGTGGAGGGGCCTGAGGTACTTGAGACGAGGCTGGGAGGCTCCGCAAAGCTAGACTGTCAGGGCTGGGGTTTGCGCTTTCCCCCAGAGGACAGGGGGTGCGGCAGGGAAGGAGGCAGTCAGAAGCATCTGTTGGGAAGCCCCCCATCACGGACAGTGGAGGAGCCCGGGAAGAGGCTGGGTCTGAGCTGGTCCAGGCCTCAGGTCTCAAGACTGGTGAGCAATGAGAAAGCCAGAGGAAGCCGATGGCAGGTGCCACAGGGAGGCAGGGGCCGCAAGGAGGCAGGGCCAGGCGAGCTCTCTTGGAACCAGCTCCTGCCCAGAACTGGGAGAACAGCTCACCCCTCTACATCCTCAGAAGGCAGAATGGATGAGGGGCCAGGTGGCAGCTAGGCCTGCCCTTCCTGGCGCCAACCTGAGGTTTGCCATGGATCTCTCATGCTGCTGTGTTCCCTGCACAGAGGACCCAACTCGCCAGGGGCCAGCGGAGGGGGGCAGGCAGAAAATAACTAGAATCTCCGGTCGCCTAAGCCGGGGCCTCTCTCTGGGGTGGTGTCCAAGGGCAACAGGCCTCTCAAAGGTGGGTTCACCGTTCTTCCACCGCTTCCTGCTCCTCACCACGACCCTCCACCCCAGCAGGCTGCTCTCCGCTCGGGCCCTGCCTGCTCCACCTTCCTCCCTTCCTAGGGACACCAGGGGTCCTCACACCCCTCTCCACCCAGGAAAACTCTCCACAACCCTCAGGGTCTTGCTCCATCCTCATCTCCCTCTGAAAAGTCTCTTCCGTCCTGTGATCGCACTGGTCTCCCCCTTCAGACTGGCACGTGTGCAGGGCGGGGCAGAAGTAGTCTAACAGTTGTTAGTGTGGAAAAGAATACAATAATTAATCAATAATAGTACAAGAATATACTCTGTGTTTATTCCTGTAAACCTGCTTTTGTCCCACCTGCTGCCTGTATAAGTATAGCTAATGCATATGTGTATTTCTGTATCTACCTACCTACACGGTATCTACATACCGTGTCCTCATGCATCCACCGGGCAGTAAATACTCACTAAATGCCTAGCGTGTGACAACCAGAAAATGAACGTGTGAATGAAAGAATGGCCTGAAAAATGAATGAAGAGATGAGTGATAAACTTTCTCCCGCTTGTACTGATTCTGTCTTCCCGGCTACAGTGGCGGTGCCACCACGCTTCCCACTCGGCCTCCCCTGTGCCTCCCTGGTTGGCTGGGCACCCAGCACGCCTAACCCCTGGGGCCACAGAGAATCTCTGGCACCGAGAGTGATGTGCGTGTGAGATGTAGACCATAGAATCCAAACATCATCATTTTGCAGGTGCCCAGAATCTAGGTAAAATATTTTCATCAAAATGAAATTTTAAGTTGGAAGAAATGAGTGTGGGGAGTTATGTGTTGCTCTAATATAACTTTAAAAAATCTCGGCCTGGCTGGTTTGGCTCGGTGGTTTGATTGAGCACCGGCCTGTGAACCGAACCAGCTGTTCGATTCCCAATCAGGGCACAGGCCTGGGTTGCAGGCCAGGTCCTCAGTAGGGGGAGCATGAGAGGCAACCACGCATTGATGTTTCTCTCCCTCTCTTTCTCCTTCCCTTCCCCTTTCTCCAAAAATTAATAAATAAAATCTTTTTTAAAAACCTCACAACTTTACTTAGCAGGTGCTTTCCCATTAAGAGTAGCTGACATCCGCCCCGCGCGGCACACTGATCCCCCCACAGCCCTACGAGGAAACCGGCCGTGGGGTTGCAGGTGGGGAACGGGAAGCGTGGAGGTTCGGTCATGAGCCTAAGGCCACACGGCGCACACGCGGCAGAGCTGGTATTTGAACCTGGTCATGTGGATCGGAGCATCAACCCTCTGCCACCCTCTGAGTGCATCTGCAGGACTTTCTATCTTTCTTTCTGGGCCTCAGTTTCTCCAATCTGTAAAATAGGGAGGGGGAGGATTGGACTCACTATCTGTCGATGGCTTTGCCTTACGGGTCCATCAGAGTCAAGCGGTAAATTCTCTCTGGACACCAGCAGATGTGGAAATGCCAGTTGGGAGTGAGCTTCCAGGAGTCAGACGGAGCCCACCAGGGGCCCCTTAAAGCCTTATGCTGTTGGCTCCCCCAATCCCCAACCTGAAAGGGTGAGTGGAGGGCTTAGGGGTGGGGTAAAACACCGCGGCATGGCATTTATTAAGCACCTGCTGCATGTCAGTCTTATAATACATTTTACTGATGAGGACACAGGCCCAGAAAAGGCAAGTGACATGCCCTGGGTTGAACGGCATGGAAGAAGGGAAGCCAGGATTTGAACCAGGCCTGCCTGATGTTCTGAAGTTGGGCTAGGAACCTGTACGTTCCATGTCCACAGGCTACACTAAGCTGCCTTCTCTGAGTCAGATGGCTGGGCCTGGGCCCCAGCTCAGGCTAGAGCTCTCTGCCTGTAATTCACTGAGTAAGACTAAGCAGCCACTGCCCTTCACTGTGTCAAGATCCTCCCCGCCCCCGGCCCACACCGTGCCCTCCAGCTATAAACTGCTGAGGTGGTGGCTCCCTCTGCCCTTTGCATTCAGGGAAGCTGTTTTTACTCTAGTCACCAGAGGGCGCTGTGGCACCAGTGGCTCTGCCAGACCAGTCTGTAGCCTGAAGTCAGTGGAAGAAGGCTTCTTAGGTAACTCCTGAATCCCTCCTTCCCTCATTTTACAGATAAGGAAACTGCAACCAAAAGAAAGACCATGGCTTTGGAAGGTGGAGTCCAGGCCGAGGAGGTAGACGCTGTCCTTGATCAGCTCACGGTGTGTGGACATTTCATTCGTGTTGATTCATTAAGAGTTGCGGTGGTCCTCTGTGCCGTGGACCAGGGCTGGGCTCTCCACACAGACAGGCAGCAGCCTCGGCTCTTCTCCTCAGGAGCTTCCTGATCTGTGAGGAGAGACAGACAGGCAGGCCCACCATAACCACAATCTCCAGAGTCCGGGGCTCCCTGGGGAAGCCCTGTATGGCACGATTTAGTGCGTCCAACCTCATGACATCCTGAGAGGCAGGTCGCCATTCCCCCATTTTTCAGATGGGAAAGCTGAGGCTCAGAGAAGGTCTATCGGCAATCAAAGGCCACACAGCCAGTAACTAAGCTGAGATCCAAACTGAAGTCTATCCGTTTCCACTTACAGAGCAGAGACATTTGACTAAGGTTGTGAAAGATGAAAAGAAGTTCACCAGGACGTCTGGTGAGACGGATGTCAAAAAAAGAAAGTGAACTGGATTTCTCCCAAGCTTTCTCGTACTCCAGGTTTTTCTCCTTGAAGGGGGCACAGCGTGGGGCCTCTGCGGGGGTGGAACCAGAGACAGTTCGGTTCCGGTGGGGAGATCAAGGCCCAGAGAGGGACCGGGTCGGAGAATGGGTCCCTGACAGGCTGTGTGTTGCTTCCCCAGCCTCCCCAGATGTAGGAAGCCGGCCGGGCAGCCATGGAGTGGCACAATGGCACCAGCCAGGCTCTGGGCTCACCGCCGACCAATTGCGTCTACCGAGAGAACTTTAAGCGACTCCTGCTGCCCCCTGTGTACTCAGTGGTGCTGGCGGCCGGCCTGCCGCTGAATATCTGCGTCATCGCCCAGATCTGCATGTCCCGTCGGGCCCTGACCCGCACGGCTGTGTACACCCTGAACCTGGCCCTGGCCGACCTGCTGTACGCCTGCTCCCTGCCCCTGCTCATCTACAACTACGCCCAAGGTGACCACTGGCCTTTTGGCGACCTCACCTGCCGCCTGGTGCGCTTCCTCTTCTACGCCAACCTACACGGCAGCATCCTCTTCCTCACCTGCATCAGCTTCCAGAGGTACCTGGGCATCTGCCACCCTCTGGCCCCCTGGCACAAGCGTGGGGGCCGCCGGGTTGCCTGGCTTGTGTGTGGCATCGTGTGGCTGGTTGTGACGACCCAGTGCCTGCCCACGGCCTTCTTCGCCGCCACAGGCATCCAGCGTAACCGCACAGTCTGCTACGACCTAAGCCCACCTGCCCTGGCCACCCGATACTTGCCCTATGGCATGGCCCTCACGGTCATCGGCTTCCTGCTACCCTTTGCCGCCCTGCTGGTCTGCTACTCCTGTCTGGCCCGCCGTCTGTGCCGCCAGGACTGCCTCGCGGGGCCTGTGGTCCAGGAGCGGCGTGGCAAGGCAGCCCGCATGGCTGTGGTGGTGGCAGCTGCCTTTGCCATCAGTTTCCTGCCTTTCCACATCACCAAGACAGCCTACCTGGCAGTGCGCTCCACGCCCGGTGTCCCCTGCCCCATTCTGGAGGCCTTTGCAGCCGCCTACAAAGGCACGAGGCCCTTTGCCAGTGCCAACAGCGTGCTGGACCCCATTCTCTTCTACTTCACCCAGAAGAAGTTCCGCCGGCAGTCACATGAGCTGCTACAGAAACTCACGGCCAAGTGGCAGCGGCAGGGCCGCTGAATCCACTGGGGCAGGACACGTGGGGCCCGAACAGCCATAGTATTTACCATTGTGGCCAGGACACAGGAGCCTGATCAACCCTAAAACATACAGAGAATTAGAGCTTAGCGCAGCTGGACACGGAGTGAGGTCCCCCACAGACCCCAAAATCTCACCAGCTACTTTGGGACCCCTTCCTCTGGACCAGACCCTTCGGCCACAGAGACAGACAAACCAGAGCCTGGCTCTCCAGAAGGTCCCAGTCAGCCACGGAGAGTTGGGCAAGCCATGTTAAGCTGCTCACAAAAATATAGCGTGATGTGTTCTGTAACCGAGGAATATGCTGCCTGCTTTGGAGTCATGGGAGCGAGGGAAGATGGGAGGAGGAAGTGACAGCTTCTGGGAAGAGGCATTTGAGCTGGGTTTTGAGGGATGAACATGAGCTGATGTGATGCTCCAGTTGTTCAGCAAACCTTTACTGACACCTTGTGCTCGGGCCTGGGTCGGTTCTGGGGCCTCGAAGGAACCAGCCCCTGCCCCGTCCCACACCGGCTCCCCACTACCAGAGGTACTGACACAGTGATGGAAGGGCCACGACCGAGGGAAGCTTGGCTGCAGGGAAGAAGTGCCCAGAGGGTGCCCATGACCCAGTCCAAGGAGTGGGGGAGGGGGAGCATTTGAACCAGATGTTACAGGCTGATGGGGGCTCCGCAAATAGGTGGGAAGCATGTTCGTGCAACCTGAGCCAGCCCTATCCTAGGCTGTGTCCTGGAGCAGGTGGGCAGAGAGTGGGGTGGAGGGCATGGATCCTCCTGTGTGTGAGAGCTGGAACAGCAAGAGCTGTCTCATGGCTACTCTCCAGAAAATGGCAGGAGTGGAGGCTCGGCAGAAGGAGAAATCAGGGAGTGCTTCCTGGAACAGGTGGGGAGAAATCTAAAAGGCATAGAAGGGAAGCCTCCTCCTGGTGAAGGCGCTGTGCGCACAAAACTCAGAGGTAGAGATGTGCTGAGCCTGGCCATAAAGCAAGTGAGTTTCAGTTAAGCCCAGGAGGAGTGGGGTGTCGAGAAAAGAGGCTGGGTGGGAGGGACCAGCATTAAATGCCAGGAAGAGCCTCAGACCCCACCTCTCCTCCACCTACCTCTTCCCGTGTACCTTCTTCAGCTCAGGGTACCCTCTGTGCCTGGGACACCTCCACCAGCACCCCCCCCCCCCAAGTTAGGGGAAATAGCCCTTCAGCACTGCTTTATTCTAAAAGAAGTAGGTGGCATGAGGAGACTCAGAGCCACCCCAGAACCATCAGGAGGTCTGGGGTGTGGAGGTCCGTGGTCAAGACCTGCTGCCCAGTCTCAGAGAGACTGCCCCCTGCTGGCTTCCTCTATCCTGCCCCTTCAGCTCCTTTATCCCGACCTGCGGGTACCTGGGAGGCTGCCTGGAGACTATCTCATACGGAAGCATCTCAAACACACCCTAAACCTTCAAAACTCTTGGAAAGTCATCCTCACCGAAGGTCCCCAGGAGGCAGCAAAGGGGAATTATACCAGGCAAGGCCCTTCTACATCTTCCCCTGATCTCTTCCTACGCACCTCTCCTCTCAGCCACACCCCTGCAAATCCTCATCCTCCCCGCCCTTTTTCCTTGGTTCTCCTCTCCCTCCCCACCCCCACCCCATACCCCTCACTTCTCTAGGCCTTGTCCCCGCTGTGGAACAACCTGGCCTGCCCTTGGCTGCTGGTACAGCACACAGACCCCGAGCGGGACCGAGCGGGACCGAGCCAGCGTGGCAGAGGGGCGTCCTTTTTAGAAGGTAGAGGGAGGAGAGGGCAGGGCCGGGAGGGGAAGGGCTGCGTAATTCAGTGTTTTCCTCTGAGCCCTGCCTAACCTCCAAGGCTGCTGGGCAGCAGAGGCATTCAGAGGGGGACTCTGGAGGAGTTCAGCGCCATGGGAAGGCCGGAGATGTGCTCGCAGCTGGTGGGGGAGTGGGAACACCAGGCCCAGCCACCAGGGGAACCCATTGCAAGTGCCGTTCCTGGGGAGGCTGGCGACTCAGACCGAAGCACTTGGATTCTCTGGGCCACTGTGAGATAGACGTGTGGGGTTGTCGGAAGACAGAGGCTTGTCCTTATTCCCTACGGGATGCCACACTGTGCCTAGCAGTACAGATGCCGCCCACCTTACAACCTGTTCCAAGTCTTGAGACCACACTCTCCAGTCGCCTGTGAAGGGGGAGAGGGAGAGAGGGCCTCCCTCCGCAGCCCAGGCTGAGCCCCTGTAAAGACCCAAACGACTGCCCCTGCAGACCACCCAGAAGCGTGGGAGCTGTGGGCCTCGGCAAATGCCATCCCCATCCTCCCTTTGCAGGACGGAATAGCAAGAGGGTAAAGGCCCCGGAGCCAGGCCCCTGGGGGTGCCTCCTGACTCCGCCGTTCGCTAGCAGTGTTGTTCTAGGCAAGTTATTTCACTTCTTTGTGCCTTAACTTCTCAAAGTGTAAAAAAGGAAAATAATGAAACCTATCTTGTAAAGTCATGAGGGTCAAATTGCTTAATATGTGCAAAGCACTTAGAACATAGTAAGCATGTGGCGAATGTTACTCTTATAGGGATGTCGCCCGTTCGGCACACAAGTCCCCCGGGGTCCATCTCTAGGACTCATCGTAGGAGGTTTCTAAACGTTTCTAAACGAGGGACTTTAAGCAGGGGGTTGCAACAATCTCTCTTTCTCCTTTATCTGGGAGGCAGCCAGCCTTTTAAGAAAAACAAAAACAAAACTCAGCACACTTTTTAAAAAACAAGGGCCATGTCCATGAGCCCACGCTGTTCCTATCAGGGGGAACCATTCATTGCATCCTGGCACCAGGGCTCCAACCACCACCATCTGAAGGGCTCAGACCTCTCCTTTGGTCTTTTTCATCCTCTTCGTCCCCCTTCTCCCTCCTCACTTTAACCTCCAGCTCACTTAGTGACAGGCAGGAGGTGAGGGCTTACCCGGAGGACGTCTGCTTGCTGAGGTGGGGAGCAGGGAACGGACAGCGGAGTGGAGGTGAAGGGCAGCGGGGCCGTAGGGTTCGAAGGGGTCCAGGGTGCTCTTTCCCTGGGTCAGAGACTTCCCAGGGCATGGGGCAGTGCAGTGGGGCCTCGAAGGGCCAATGAGATTAGCCTGAAGGACAGAGGGTGAGGGTGTTCCTGGTAGAGAGGACAGCACAGGCACAGGCATGGAGGCTGCCGCGTGAAGCCCCGGCAGGGCTGTGGCCTGGGACGGGGCTGGAGAGTCAGAGACGAAGAAGCACTGGGGAGCCAGCACGACAGCAGTGACCATCAGCTGGGCTCCGCAGGTTCCGGGCACCACGCAACATGCTGTACACACACCTTCCCATTCAATCTTCGTAACACCTCCTGCCATAGGTGGGGAAACCGAGGCCCGGGTGTGGGAGCGGATGTGCCAGGGTCACACCGCCTTTCTCTAACCCATATACCAGATCCCTCCTGCCTTATCCTCACTCCCTTCCCTTCCTACGCCTGCCTTCCAGGGGCCCACTGCCCCGCCCAGTCCCAGTTCCTGGGGACCCCCCAGGAAGCTGTGACAGAGACAGCAGAGTGCCAGCCACAAAAGCAATTCTCTTTTAGCTGGGCACATGGCCTCCAAGGATGAAAACTCCATTTCCCAGTCTCTCTTGCAGCTGGGTATGACCAGGAAACTTATTCCTGGCCAAGGGGACGTAAGCAAAGTGCCCTATGGCAGTTGAATGTGGGAGGAGGGAAGGTTCTTCAGGGAGAGGTGGGGTCTGTTCTCTGCTTCTCCTCCCTTCTTGCTGCTCCTGGCAGGAACCTCACAGCCGAGCACCATCTTGGACCGGGAGGGCCAGGGTGCCTTCCGTGGCTGGTGGGGCGGAAAGCTGAGATCAGTTGGGCCTCTGACCATTCCAGTTTGGGGCCTCCTAAATCCAGATTTCTGCATGAGGGATAAGGATCTATCTTTTGTAAGGCCCAGCTTCTTGGATCTGTGTTACCCACAGCCCCTGTACTCGGCTTCTATCCTGAGACGGTAGACCAAGGTGGAGGCTGGGCAGCGTCCTGAACTGGGGCGGAGGCCTCTCTGGGCGGGAGCCAGGAGTCCACAGGGTCTGGCCACGTCCAGGAAGGCCTTCTGGAAAAGGTGCAAAGGAGTGATCACCCCACTTTTGGCTGGAATCTGAGGGGTGGATGCGCTTCTTAAGAGAGTAAGAAGAGGGGGTATCCTGGATAGGGCCCTAGAACACCAACGTTTAGGGGCTGGGGAGGAGGGGAAGGAGCCAAAGCAGTGAGGGTAGAGCCTGGGGGTCTCTGAATGATGGTGATGGGGTGAGGCAGTGGCGGGGGGTGGCAGAGGGAGGGGCTGGAGGAAGGAAGTGAAGGTGATGGGGGGAGAAGTAAAGAGAGAAGGTTCTGAGGGAGGCCGGGCTCAGAGAAGGCAGGAGCCAGGGGTGCAGGGTCAAGATGGGGGAGCCAGAAAGTTGGGAACAAGGGTTTGATTGGGGGAGATTTCCATCCAAAGCAGGAAAAGCCCAGGGGCGCCGGATCTGTCCCAGCAACACGGGCCCCCCATTCATCTGTTTAACAAGCATTCCCTGTGCGCCTCACAGATGGTGCTGGGAACACTGAGGCAGCTCAGACCTGGGCTCAACCTGCTGAAGGAATCCAGGGGGCTGGGGATGCAGACAAGGAGCAGACATTCATCCAGTAAACATTTATTGAGCACCTACTGTATGCCAGGCATCATGCTGGCAGTGGGTCCCTGCCCTCTGGAAGCTCCTAGTTTGATGGAGAATGACAACCATGAAATAAACACGTACACATCTGGATCATCACAGTCGGAGAAGAGAGAGTTCAGAGAAACTTACAGAGGGCCAGGGCAAAGAAGGTCCCATGGGGGAGACAATATGCTCATGGAATGGTCAGGAGATGCTGGGGCCCACAGGGGCCCTGACCCAGCTTGAGGGGCAGAGAAGGTTTCTTAGCTGAGGCCCAATGGCCTCAGAAGGCACTAGCTCAATACAGAAGGGCTGTTACTAAGTCTGTGACTTTGAACAAGCCCCTTCACTACTCCGAGCCTCTGCTTCCCTACCTGTAAAATAGCAATAATACTATCAGCTCTCCCTAGGCCACCGGGGGTACTGAGTATGGAAAGGTTAGAGCAGGATTTTCATAAAATATAACAAAGTATTATAACCCAACAGAAGAATGGACAAGACGCACAAATAGGCACTTCACAGAAAAGGAAATACAGATCATCAAAAAACAGAAAAGATTTGGTTCTGGCCCGACAATGCTGACCCGTGGTGAGCAGCCACACGGCCCACTGCCCGAGCACTGCTGCTAATGTGCACCTGACGCGGGCACAGTGCTCACGGCAGCACCAAAAACACGCAAACGCCCATGCATTCGAGTGGGTGGGTGCACCGTGCCGTGTTCACACACTGCAGAACTGCACACAGCAGAATGCGCCGCGCCAGCACGGAGTGACACGGGTGAATCTGGGCAATACGTTTTAAATAAAAAGAAATCCCCAAAACTATACACAGCAAGGTGCCCTATTTGTAAACTTAAAAACAATTAGAATTAAAATTAAAATATAGCCTTTAAAGAAATACACAGATGTGATAAAACTGTGTAGTGCTGGACCCAGGAGGTGATGGTGGCCCTGGAGGGTGGGCAACAGGAGAATGGGCCGGCTATATAATGAAGGTCCTAGTTGTTTCGGGTTTTGGTGGGAGTCAATTACATAATAGGTGAGACTGTGTCATGCACAAAAGGTTATAAATAATCCAACTCTGTGAACTTGAGGTCTAATTATACAGGAAAGGAACAGAACAGTCTCAGGTCATTTCTGTTTGACTTTGGAGTGGAGTCAGGAGTCAGAGTTCCTTCCTGGAGCTCACTGCTTCTTGGAATCCTCTCCCTCCTCATCTTCGTCCCCCTTAAGTACCCGAGGCCAAACACTGGGTGTGACTTTGACCCTCATAACCTTCCCATCTTGATTTCTCCAGGGGATCCTATAGCTCTGATGTCGCTGAGTGTACTCCTGGGGCAGACGGTTGTTGTTTTCGCTCCCCTTTCACAGGCAAGGAGCCTGAGGCCCAAAGGAAGAGAGCGGCCTGCTAGGGTCACTAGGCAGGTCCATAAGGGTGACGGCCTTGGGCCAGCTCTAGCGTCCAGGCACAGTGTTCTTCTCTCTCCCCCGGGGCCCAGTGCTCCCAGCCCCCTCTTAGGCAAGGCTTTGAGTCCTAAAAACACCAGGTCTCTCTGCCAGGAAGATGACTTTGTCTCATCCTGGGTCAGAAGGGGAGGACTCACAAGGTGCTGCAAGCAGCCAAGCCACTCTCTGGGGGAGCTCCCCACTGGCAGAGGACCAGCCTAGACCCTTAATCACCCCCTCCTCCACCACAGGGGTTCCTGATCCAAAGCCGTCCCTCACAACTGGTTCCTCTCACAGCCAAGCTGCAGGATGCTGGGAGCCTATGACCTGAGTCTGCACTCCTCTTCATCACTTTGCCCATCTGTGAAATGGGAATAAGAACCTCTCTGTCCCTGAAGTGACACGAAGACAGAATAGGACAGGGTGTAAAAGAGTTCGAAAAGTACATTTCAGAAGGTAGGGTACATGGTTATTGGAAGAGAACGGTGACTTCTGGGACGAATTCCCCCCACATGCTATGGCTGCCCAAAAAGTAGAAAGAACACTCTGGAGGAGACAAGAG